CCGGAAGCCCTCCCTGCCACCCCTTCTGGGCCAGGGCCCTTCCTCTCTCTTTGTCACCTGTGCTACCTCTAACACAGCACTGACCATACTGTCCACGAGTGTCTGCCCACGTGACTCACCACCGGCCAGCGTGAGCCCTGAGAGCAGGGTCCTCACGTCCTTCACCTCCGGGCCCCTTGAGGCCCCTGGGGCCTGGGGCAGAGTCGATGCCCAATAAACGTGTGTTGACTGCATGAATGAAAGGCCGCCGAGCCACCGTGCTCTTGCTTCTGTCTACCCACATTTTAGGGAGTCGGTGTCACCCTATGAAGTGTGTCACAGACTACCAGAAGGGCCCTGGTTAGTGGATTCGGGACCACGCCCTGGATCACAGGGCGAGGCGGTGGGGGCTGTGGGGCTGGACCTCAGAGGGTCCTGGGGAGCTGGGCACACAGCCAGCCCCGTCCTCCCAGCCCAGGGATGGCCGAGGAGCTGTAAACCCAGGCACCCCTTGTCCTAGGCTGGTCCTTGGGGCTTCTCCCTGAGCTCATAGAGCTCGGGCTCTTGGGCAGAGACAAACTGCCTTCACCCCAACTTCCTAACTGCTGGGGCGCCTGGCCGGACATTCATACTCCTCTGCTTGGGGGCCCCGGAGCCCTCTGCCCATCATGAGAATAGTGTCTGTGCTTGGCCTCTGTTGTGTGTCCACAGCCGTCCACTGTCACTGCCCCCCCGCACTGCCCCTTCCTTCAGCCGCTGCACCCACTGCTATCTTCTTACCTCATCCCCGACTCTGTCCCTCCGCCCTGTTATGACCCCTCTTGCCCTCTGCAGCCCCCACCCCACAAATTCGTACCCTCGACTTCCTGCCATGGCGGGGCCTGGCTGCCATGGGGCACCACACAGGGTCCTGGGCCACCAGCCCTCAGCACTGCAGGGGCCCTGCCAGCAATCGCCGGGAGGGTCAGCTCCTCCCAGGGCCCCAGCGTGGTGCACCTGAGTCTCTGGATCACTGTCCCTCTGAACCTCCTGGCTCTGCACCGGCTCTTGTAGGTGGAGACCTCAAGCTCCCGGCCACAGTCAGGCCACCGCGGATTTGGGAGGCCAATCTAGGGCCTGGGCATAGTTCCTGCAGGCCTGGCTCACCTCAGCACTCCAAACTCGGGCACTGGTGGGTGGGTGGGTGATGGGTGGCAGAGACGGGACCCTCATTCTGGCCTTCCCAGCCCAGCAATCCAGTGTCCCAGACTAGGCCGGGTTTCTTAGCATCTTTACTGCAGGTTATGGGAAAGGGAGGGCCTGCTGTGCTCCAAGGGACCGCACGGGGGCGCCCGGGTACAGCGCTCGCGGCACCTCGAGGGGCTCTGGGTTCCCAGGCTGGACTAGGCTGAGCTGGGGAGCTGGGCCTGAGGCTGGTTGTCCTGCTGGGTTCAGAAGCAGTGTCCAAGTGGGTGGGGTCCAGAAGCCCCCAGCCCTGCAGGTTCTGCATGTATTTCCGGCGATCTGAAGGGGCTGCAGGAGTCAAGCAGCTCCCTTCTAGCTGCTCTGGAGTTTGGGGCCACTTTACAAGGCCCCAGAGGCCCTGACCTGTCCGAGGCCCTGCAGGAGCCTGAGTCAGGGAGGCCTCTCCACACATCCTGCTCTGGCTGCTTCCCCTAGCACAGTGGCTCCTCAGCCTCTCACAGATGGGAGGGGGAGGAGCCGCCCCCAAAACTCAAGACCCACACCCCACAGTCCCCGGGGACTCCCTGAGTAGCTGGCCTGGCCGCCCAGGCTTTTTTCCTGGCCAGAAGCCCAGGGGCTGAGAGGGCTCTCCAAGGCCACCCACCAGGGGTCAGCTTGGGGTGCCTGGGCTGAACCAGGGGCTCCAGGTGTGGGGGATCCATTCCCAGGGTTGTGCAGGGACATGTGCGTGTCATGTGTGAATCATGTGCACGTGAGCCTGTGTGTGTGTCATGTGTGTAAAAGTCTGTGTGTGTGAGCCCTAGTGTGTGTGAGCATGCATGTCATGTGCTTTCCGTGTGGCCTTTGCCTTGGTGTCTGTATCCCCCAGGCCCTGGGGACTGGGTGAGGTCTGAGCCCCCTGAGAGGCCCAGCAGGCCCTGCTGAAGACCAGGCCCCCAAGAGCAGCATGTGTCCCCCACACTCCACTGCCAGCCGGGTCCCTAACCTGCCCCAAGCCACAGGCCCAAGGGTGCAGTTCCATCCCATGGGACACTTACTGTTCTTCAAGCCATAGCCACTGCAGCCATCCACTGCCCTGCCTCTGTGACAAGGTCCCCACCAGCAAGGAGATGCTGGGTGCTGGGCAGGAGAGGATGCCGCCTGGGGATTCCTCCCTTAGCTGCCCACCCAGCGCCCCTTTCCATCACCCTGTCCTCCAGGAGCCCCAAGCCCGGCCTCCCTGAATCTGCTCCTAGTCCAGCAAGATCACCACCCAGGGTGTCCTGCTCTTCGGGTGCCAGGTCCCTCCTCTTCACCTCCCAGGTCTCCGCCTGTGCCACCCCCTGCAGGGGTCTCACCTGGTCCCTGCCCTTCCTTCCTGACCTGGGCCTCTTTATTAAAGCCTGGGGAGCCATGCCAGGCTGTGGTGCCACCCAGTTCTTGTTGAAATTGGCATCGGATGCCTGCAAACCCCCAGGCTGGCAGCACACAAAGGGTTGGAGCTTCAGGGGACCAGAGCCACGGAGATATGGGTACACATCATACACACACCCCACACGTGTGTGCACACCCATGCCCCCCACACTCACACAAGCAGCAAGTCACACACACACACACACACACACACCCACTTCAGGATCAGGGAGCCGAGCTGCTTTTCCTGTCACGTGTTCCCACCATAAGGACAACAGGAAGTCCTCAGAGACAGGAAGGAGAAGCCAGCATTGGGTGGTCCCTTGAGGGGATGCAGGACCGGCAGGCGCCCTTCCTGGGGAGAAACCAAGGGTGGGCTGGGCTGGGCTGACCCTGTCACCCAGGTTGGACTGGACGGTCTCCTGGAGCGTGGCTGCTCTGTTCCAGGCTGGGCTCCTCTGTTGAAGTAGCCCCTCCAGGGAGCCCCGAGCAGGACACAGACCCAAAATGGGGTCACAAGTCCTGCCCAGTGTTGGCCTCAGAGACTGTGTGTGCCTGGGGGTGGGGAGTTGCCCCTGAATGCTCCGCAGTGTGGAAACAGAAGTGCCCAGAGGGGCCACAGTGTCCTCAAAGCCAAACTGAGCAAGGCAGTGGCGACCCCAGCCCATGCTTAGCAGCTCCCTGTAACACCAAGGCAGTGCAGCATGTCTGTCCTGGCTCCACCCTTCTGGGGGATAGGCAGCTGCCTCCTGAGATCTGCACACTTCCAACTCTGTAGCCACTTCTGCTGTCTGCTAAATTTGGAGAATGACCTCCTGGCCCCTCCTCTCAAGACTCCTCCCACATCTCTGACGGCCCCTCCCACTTCCTATCAGTCCCTCCCATTTCCTAGACGAGGCCCCTCCCACTTCCCAGACAGGGCTCCTCCCACTTCTCGAACGAGGCTCCTCCTACTGTGTAGGTAGGGGTGCTGGGGGCAGCTGGCTTCTGTCCTTGAGATCTGCACCCCCCAGCAGTCTTGGGGGTGACTTTAGGGGCCAAGGAGAAAGGAGGGGTGTACAGGTGGGAAGGCTGGGCGGAGAACTGGACACCACGCCAAAGCTGCTCTGGCTTGGCTTGGCATTTTGATTTTCTCCATTTTTAAACCTGTTCAGAGGGTCCCAGGCTGACCAACTGTCCTCATCTGTCCTGGACTAAAGGGGTTCCGGGGATGTGCGCAGGCAAATCCCAAGGAAACAGGACCCCAAACCCATTTTCTCCAACCCCATCTGATGCTTAAACACCATCTATATTCCCTGGCTTGCACACTCCCTGTGATGGTGAGCTCAGTACCTGTCAGGACAGCATGAGCCAACAGAGACCAGGACACGGCAAGCACAGGCAAGGACACAATGAGGGCGGAGGTGGTGGTCACGGTTCCTGCAATGCCACTCTGCCCCCTCACTCCTCTGAGGCTCCTGCCCCTCCTCCAGGAAGCCTCCCTGACTTCCCCAGCCCTGAACACCTGAAGGAGCATCTTCCTCCTCCCAGCGGTAGAGTTTGTCTTTATCTCCTACTGGGGACCCTGCCTCTCTCTCCTGGTGGGGCTCGCCACCCTTTGCACCTACTGTTCCCTCTTGGTGGACACCCCCTTGCCCTGAGAAACTCTCTTGCCCTTTAACAAGGTGACTCAAACGCCAGCTCTTCCAGGAAGCTCTCTGGGTTTCTCTAAGCGGAGCTCTCCAGGAGTGCTTCTCTCCTGGACCCAAAGCCACCTTACTTCTGCTGGGCTCTACCACAGAACCGAGCAGACCTCAGCCCTGGGGCCGTGGGAGCCCGAGCCTGGGCTGGTGCTCTTGGGACTCAGACCCTCATGGGGCCTGGCAGGGTCTGGCTGCCTCCTGGCCCAGCACACAGCAAGTGCATACTCAGTGCTTGTTGGCTGTGTGCTCTGAGCCAGTGTTTCCCAGCAGACCCGGTGCCAGGCAGTCACTGGCTTCCTGAGGGAGCCCCGCTCACCCAGCCTCCCAAAGGTGCCATCGTCCAAAACTCCCAGGCAGGATCAGACCTTTTTGTGACCTCCAAAGCAGACAGCCCTGCTCCGGGTCCTGCCACGCCCCTAGCGGCCGGCTTCTCAGTGGTCCATTCACCTCGAGGCACTGGGTGGCATTACTAAGTGGCTCCTTCCCCAGTACCCGGACATGTCCCTGGCTCAGGGGTGGAACCAGTCTTGGGACGGGGTGAGTGGTATTCTGCCCCCTCTCCTGGGGTCCTGGAGACTGACCTGGGGTCCCAGGGACTGGCCTAGCACCCAGGGGTGCAGGAGCTTCTCAGGCAACATTCCGGGGCTGCCGGGGAGAGGCCCAGGCCGGGAGGGCAGTTCCTAGAATTATCCACCAATCGCCTGGGCTCCTGGCACGGGAGCTGCTCTTATCTGCCCAGCCCGGCATGGGGAGGTGGCCAGGCTGGCTGGGCAGGACACTGCCCAGGGGCCGAACATAGAGCAGTCCCAAGCCCTGCAGGGTGGGCGACAGCCACCGAGGACGCAGAGTGTCCCTGTAGGCTGGTGGCCAGCAGCTGCCCGTCGGCTGCACCATGTCGGACGGCGAGGGCCCCTCGGCCGGTGAGTGGCAGCGCTATATTTACCCACCATGGCTCCTGCTGCAGAGCCAAGGCCGCCGGTCGCCGAGGGCATGGGGCCCCGCGGGCTGCAGGCAGCTGTGGGGCTGGACCCTCCTCCACCAGCCGTACGCCCGGGGGCTGCAGCCAACGTGGGGAGGGGTGACTTTCCAAGCCAACTTCAGCCACACCCTGGCTTCCCGAAGGTTGGGGCAGGAAGCCATGCCCTCACAAACCCTTCCCACACTGAGGGGAGGCTGGGGGGCAGGAGACCCGCAGGGGACAGGGACCTGGACAGGGACTGAGCCCCAGGGTGGCCCCGCGTGTCCAGGCCACCCATACCATGTACAAAGGAATGTGTGTGAACATTTATCTGGGGGACAGCCAGGCATGTCCCCAGGGTTCCCTATGAGCCTGAGCCCCAGGTGCCCACCATGGGCCCCCAGATCTTCCAGGTTGGAAATGGCCAGGGACCAGCGAGTGCTGTAGAGGCCGGACTTTGTGACCCCATGCTATCCTGGAGAGAGGTGCAGTGGCCACTGGCCACCCCCTCCTTCCCACTGGAGGCTGCTGTGCTGGGATAGTCTCACCCAGGGGTGCTGTTGGGGACCTTGGAGCCAGGCCACTCTGTCCAGCACCAGTTCCTTCACGTCCACTTCCGGGCTGGGTGACCCCAGGCCCATGGCTGCACTTCTGTGCCTCTCCTGGTCCTCAGGTGGGGGTGGGGAGCACGGTGACGGTGCCCAGTGCACAGGCGACTGTGAAAGGCCAGTGTGCTGCTAGCTGCATGTCTGTGGTGCCTGGTGTGCTGCGGGCACTCGGCAGTCAGTGGGCACCCCAACCAGCCATCCTGGGAACTGAAGGCAGGGTGCTTCGGGCACCAGCAGCTGGCCTGGGGTTCACTGCCAGTGTGGCACCTGGGACTGGCCTGGGTGTGTGTGTGTGTGTGCAGGGCAGGGAGCGCCTGCACCAGCAGCCCAGCCTCGCTGCCTCCTCGGTACCAGCCACACAGCTGCCAGGCGAGGCTTCTGCACTGCTGGGGCTTCCAGGGCCGGGGGAGCCGCTGATGGCCTCTCTGGCCAGCCCACACCTGCTGTGGCCCCGGAATAGCCATCTCCTCCACTGCGACACGGCCCTGGCGTGAGGGGCTTGTAAAGCCACCCGAGGGGAGGAGTATTTCAGGAAGGCTGGGACAATATTAGCCAGGTGGCGACAGCAGGCGCTGAGTGTGCAGCCTGGACGCATGGAGATGTGTCTGTCCTCTTTGCACTGGGAGGTGGGGCCTGGTTCCGACCCAGTCTGTGTGTCCTGCCTGGCTCAGGGGCTCTGGGTGGCTCCAGGCTATGCAAAAGTGGCGGCGGCCTTTGTCTGTGATATGTGGGCTCCAGACTGAGCTGGGCTGCAGGAATCAGAGTACCCTGGACAGTGGAGGAGGAGGAAGAGGATGTCCACACAGTGGGGAGGCCCTGGGGGAGGACAGGGTCTTCCAGGATGCGTGGTCTGACATCTGGACCTCTCTGAGATTCCAGGTGCCTAGCAGACCACTGGGACCTATGCCCCCTGTTTGGGTCTGTGTCTACTTACCACCCGTGTGACCTTGGGCAGCTCTGTCTCAGCTTTCTCCTCTGCTTAATGGGATAATAGTCAGACTTCAGGTCCTCAAGTTGCAATAAGAGTTAAATGATCTGCCAAGCATGGTAGTGCACACTGGTAATCCCAGCACTTGGGAGGCTGAGGCCGGAGGATGGCAGAGAGTTTGAAGTCAGCCCTGGCTGCATAATGAGACCCCGTCTATGATCCAGAGAAGAAAGTGAGGGGACACAGGTATGCATTGCCACGCCTGGAAACTGAAGCCCAGAGGGGCCGGTGACCTGCCCAGAGTCACCCAGGGCTAAACGGCGAGCAGAGAGGCTGGTCCCACACTCTGTCTGCACAGAGCCTGGTCTGCCCCTCCTCAGGGGAGCTGCCTGCACCGAGGGGCGGAGTGGGGTGACGTGGAGGCCCCGTCGGTAGCAGCAATGTCCCTTCTCTTTGAAGACAGTGAGCTCTGTGTCGCCTACAAGCATTTGGAACCTGTTAGAAGAACGTGCTTCCTCCTCAGGGCATCGGGAAAGTCCGCAGAGCAGGGACACTGGCAGGCGGCTGGCCCGGGCCTGGGGGAGCGGCGGGCAGCTAAGGTTACCCGAGTCAGCACCGTATTTATAGCATGAGTCCCCGGGCAGTTTGGCATGTGCCCTTTACAGTCACCTGCACCCCACGCCTGGTGCTGGCTCTTAGGTTTGGAGGGAGCTGGGGCTGCATGGATCATGTCACTTGATCCTGACTTCGTTTCCTCATCTATAAAATAAGCAGCTTCCCCAGAGCCAGGCATCATGGTACACACCTGTGTACCATGTGCACTTGGGAGGCCGAGGCAGGAGGATTGCTACAAGTTTGAGGCCAGTCTGAACTACACAATAAAAAGTTGTCACAAAATGCACAGCAATAAATGTGTCCCTTGCTAGGGTGCAGTGGTGTGTGTGAGGCTGGCACCTGCCTGGCGTACAGGGCTGCGGGCAGGCTGGCTCCACACATCCCGGGGCTGTGGGCGGCCTCCTCCTGCCTCTGACCCTGTGGGGTTCCCAATCCGGGCTCTGTGGGTGACCTGCTGCCCTGCTGCTTGGGAAACTTTCCAGCTGCAGGACTCCCCGTTGCTCTTCTCAAAAAAATGGCCTGAACTGGGAGTTCACATCTCTGCACTCTGGCGCCTGCCATGTGGCCTTTGGCAAGTCACCTACTTTCTCTGGGCCTCCCCGGGGCGTGCTCGCCCTGCTGAGATGGACATGGTGATGGTGGACCCCAAGCTGGACATGTTTCTCTTCCCTGTGACCTCCTGCCTGGAGATTCATGAGGGGGTGGCCTGGGCTCCCCCAAAGGCCCCCATGAACTTGGCTGCTCAGGGGCCTCTGCCTGGGCTCAGGCTGAGACTAAGGACACTGGGGCCACCCATGGCTGGCTGGTCCTTCCTGGAGCCCTGACTTCTTGCGCCAGGCTGCCCAGTGGACAGGCCAGCACCTCCCACCTCCCGTGTCCCAGCTATGCCTGCTCTCATCCGGGTTCTCTCTACCACGGTGAGAGGAGTTTCTGTGATGTCACCACCTCCAGAGCTGAGGCAGGGGTGGCCTGGGCTTTGTTCTCCTTCAAGCTCACTGACTGGCCGTGTGCCACGGCCTCTGGCTGGGGAGTGTCCCTGGAGGACAGGGAAGCAGACACTCCAGTTCGCCCTGCTCTCAGAGAGCTCCCGGGAGAGGCCCCAGGACTCAAACCCTCTTTGTGCCCCTCCTGTGCCCGAGGCTGTGTGATCCCTGCCTTTCTGGATGGCCACCTCTGCTCAGGCTTCCTCTGTTGGGTAACAGGGAGCCATTGAAGACTCTGGAGCAAGGGAGGGAGGTGCCTGGCCTCTGGGCAGTTCATGGTGCCTCCTCCTGGCCAGGGCCAGCTCCAGCTCTGGGCTCTGTCGAGGCCTCAGGGGCCTTTATGTGGGGAGCAAAAAATAGAGGCTAGCAGCCGGGGGATTAGGAATTTAACTAGAATAGCCATGCATGGAGGTGCATGCTGTCATCCAGGCACTCAGGAGGCTGAGGCAGGAGGGTTGATCGATGCGAGTTCAAGGCCAGCGTGAACTACACAATGAGAAGAGTACTTCACTGTGAGTTGGAGACAAGGATTTCTGTCATCTTAGAGTGTCAGGTCAGCTCCTGATGGGCATTCCCGAGACAGTAAGCAAGATAGGTTTTATTTTTAAAGAGAAACTAAGCTGCTGGCACTGGTGGCTGCTCCCTGTTACTTCTCCTGATGCCATCTGTGTAAAAGCAGAAGCCGGTCTGGCAGCAGGGGAGGGAGGGACCAGGGTAGACCTCCCTTCCCCACTTTGCATTTTGAATTGAAATGTTTGCATCCATCAAACGGCCTCTTTGTGGCCCTGGTCTGGACTCTGAGGCAGACAGGGTGTAGGAGGCGCTGGAATAAACAAATCTGAAATCCCAGGGCCCGAAGCCAAGGAGAGGGTCACCCCGCACAGAGCCTGGTTCCTGCGTGGCTCGGGGTGACGCTTTCCGTGAGCCCGATCCCTGTCATCACCACTGGCCAAGACGGTGGCCCCCAGGCCAGCGACCACAGAGTGTCCTGTCCTCTGCCTTCTATTTGCTCTGTTAATTATTTCCCTCTCAGGCTTCTCGGGAAGAGAGCCGTGCAGCGCGCACTGGGCAAGCCGTGGGCAGTGGACACCCCAAGTGTGCTGCCTGTGAGTCCCCAGATCAAATCACATAGCGGGGGCCAGGGGTCTCCACTCTCTTCTCCCCCAAAGACTCAAACGCCCCCCTCCGCATGGCGCTGAGGCGGACTCCAGGCTCAGGGGAACAGGGCTGGAGTGAACCCAGACTGGCTGGTGCAGGTGGGCCCTCCGGGTGAGATTGCTGGATCTGGGGGAATCCCTGCCCTGTCCTGCTTTCCAGGAGGACAGAGCTGATGTATAACCCCACCAGCAGCGCACAGGGTCCCTCCCTCCTCCTCTTGGCCAGCACTTACCTTTCATCTTTTTTTCTTTTCTTTTTGATGCCGGGAATCGAACTCAGGCCCTCACGCTTGCCAGGCAGGCGCTGCACTGCAGAGCTGCACCCCCAGCCCCCTTTTGTCTTTTTGATGGCTCCCTTTCCAGCAGGTGTGAGCTGGGTCTCACTGTGGCTTGGCTTTGCATTTCTGTGATGATTACTCACACTGAGCATTTTCCCCAGCGATGACCACTGGCATCTTCATTTGAGAACTGCCTGCTCCAGTCTTCTGCTCATTTTAAATTGTATTATTTGTTTGGTTTGTGCACGTATAACTTCCCCTTGATGTCTTTGGGGGACCCCTTCCAGATCTCTTGGAGATAAGAGAGTCCAAGAACACTCACATCTGTCATATGAAATGGTGCAGTATTTACCCAGGGGTGGTGGTGCATGCCTGTTACTCTGACACTCAGGG